TATGGGCCTGTCAAAAATTCTTTAGGGCAAGATCTGGGTCCTTCCATCTTTAATGTTTGCTCATTAAAGCCTGAATGACACGGTGTAGTCTAAAGCACCAATGTGCTTGCTACATGCTTATTCCCAGGCTGAGTTGCTCTCCCTACTGGTACTCACTTCTTCTGTGCCCCCCAACAAGGTCCCCACATTCTGGTCTGCAGGTTTTATTTCCTTTCCCAAATGGAATTTTGTCCTGGGTGTGACTAGGCTCCTTGTCATAAAAAGAAATCACTCTGGTGACAGATCCTATAGTGATGAGCAGTCTTAGGGTCATAGCTTGGGATTGTTGTTTATAGTTATAATTGAATGCATAAGTCCTTTCAGGGGAATAGGAAGGCTGAGAGGAAGGATGGATTAAAGTACTCTCAAAGCCTCCCCCGCTGGGCCTTTCTCTCCCTCCCATAGAGTCTGTGCATCTCTGGGTCAATGTGTTTGAGTCAACTTTCCAGTACTGCGACTACACACCCAAGAATAACAACCTAAATAGAAAGGTTTGTGGTTCATGGCCCCAGGGGTTTCAGTCTAGAGTGGCTGGCCCAGTTGTTTTGGGCATGTGGCAAGGCTGGAGCACCACGGTAGAGGGTGTGTTGGAGAAAGGCTGCTCAGCTCATGACAAGATCCAGAATGGGGTTGTGGTCAAGCTGGTCCCCATAGTCTCACCACCATGACCCCACCCTTCACCTCCCAGTAATGTTGTCACATTGTGATCTCATCAAGTCCACAGTGAGGGCAGCATCCATGATCTGGTCACTTCCCAACCTCCACCTCTGCACACACATTAGACTTTCTTGGGGGACATTTTAGATCAAAACATAACTCCAGGTACCTATCCTCATTTTCTCTCCCCCACTCCCAATCTGTCCTTTCCTCCTGCTTCCTATCTCCCTCTGTCCCTCCTTTTCTATCTTTCCACAACTTCCACCTTCATATCATAATACCCATCAAGACCCTGACTCCATTGTTAAGGAATATACTTACCTGTCCTTCACATTCAAAGCACAGAGTGAAAAGGGACAGGTGAATCTTACCATTTGGTAAGAGAGGAGGAGAATTCTCCCACAACGTTGTCCTTTAGGGGCCTGGTGCATACAGTTTAGAGTCAAGTTTCCTAGGTTATGACCCCAGCTCCCTCCTATTCTCCCAACCCTAGGTTGCCCCTAAGTGCTGCTGGGTCATGAGTGCATTACTGCAGGGAACACAGATTCCTCAGTCACTGTGAGACCTCCTTGACTATAGTGGTCCTCTTCAAATCGTAGTCGTCTTGAATTGCATCCTAATTTCTGCCCTGTCTATCTGATAGTGTGACTGAAAGATTGAGAGCTGCCAACAGCAACCTAGGTGAGTTCCGTGAAGGTGAGGATTGGTGCATGTCTTGATCATAGCTGCCTCTCCTACAGTGTGCCCAGTGCTCAGCACCCACAAGGTGTCATAAGGTAGTGCATGAAGGCTGCTGGGAAGGGTCTGAGATGGATGCCAGGCTGTGTGGATGGCTGAGTGATGGCAGAGAGTACAGGAGTCTGGAGCCTCTTTTAAGGACAGTGGTGATGGAGAGTTAGGGTATTGTATATGGCTCGGAGTCACCCACATTGAAGAAGTAGGCTCAATGCCTGTCTCAACTATACCAGGGCAGACTGGTCTTCTAAACATATACAGAAAATCAGGCAAACCACAGGGGCTGAGGCTAGAGGAAGCATGGGGTTGTAAGTGAGTGGGGTCAAGATGCTTTTGGTAGCAAGCTAAGGAACACAAGACTAACAGTGACTGAACTGTCAAGCCACATAATCCTCTCACACTACAGCTTCTGGATCAGGCCAGCTGCCCAGTGATGGCTATATCAAGCTGGTTTCTCTCTGTCCCTCTTCATGCACATTGAGCCTGTCCATGACCCTGTCTCCTTCTGTGAGCAGCTGTGGTTGCAAGGTGGTGGCCACAGCCAAGCACCACATGGGCACACAGCAGTATCCTGAGTGGAGGGGCAGAGGGAATTCCCAGAGGAGCATCTCTTGGGGTGGCTTTCCTGCTACCTGGGAGGAGGGGTTGACGCTGGGCTTCAGAGGTGTCCTTTTCTCTCATTGCATTATTGGTCAAGGAGGAGCCAGGCTTCTGTGACTGGCTTTGGTCAGGGATGCTTCATCCGGGGAGCTGGGCAGTCCTCACACAAGGGAGATTCTGTTACAGGGGAAGTAGAGGGAACATCTGCTGGACAGGCAACAAGCAGTGTCTGCTGCCAGGCTTGGGGGAAAGAATCTGCAGAGCTGTGGCTGCTCCTGCTGTGAGCAGAGTGGGGAGGTACATGGGGAAGGGCTGCTCATGGTGACATTCAGATGCTCTGCTTCCACTCACAGCAAAGAGGGAGGGGGCATGAAGGCAGGAATCATGGCTAGGAGAGAGGAGAATGGCTTTGGTTCCAGCTGTGCCAGACACTTGTCTGGGATTCTGGTCAATTCACCTCTCTGGATTTTTGTTTTGTTTTGTTTTGTTTTTAAGAGAACATTGAATGTACTGGGCCCAAATCAAGGTTAATCCCAATGATTACAGTGGTGGTGGTGGCAAGAACCATGACTGCAATTATAATAATGGTGACAGGAAACGTCTCCTGAGCATCTCCTCCATGCTCAGTTACATCCCTTCCCTGGATTCACAGGACTGTTTGCTGTTGCTGTGTACCAAGCCCTTTCTTTTCCTAGATGCTCCTAAAGGCCCTGAAGTCATGGTAGTAGGTGGAGAAAAGTCCCTGCTCTTGTGTTCTAGTGAGGGCAAGGCTGGGTTCTGAGCAGAGAGATGATAGATAATAAATGATGGATAGGTAGATGATAGACAGATAGATGTCAGATAGGTAGAGGGCCAGTGGCAATACATGCCTTGAAAGAAAGTAAAGGAAAGAAAGGAGAAGGAATGGCTGGCACAGTCAATATATATGTCAATATATGACACAGGCACTGGCAGCTTTGCTGAGGAGGTGATATTTAGGGATGAATGCAAATGAGGGGACGAAGTGGGCTACAGGGGAAGGGGCTTCAGCCAGGGATGATCCTATTGCTGAAGTCTGAGGTGTAAGTGGACTTGGCCTGTCCACGGAACAGCTGTGGTGCTGGAGCAGATGAATGGGAAGGACAAAGCGTGAGGGACTTGCAGATGAGGTGACAGATGCAATGCTAATGTGCAGCTGGATGATTGTGGTCCAGGAGGAGGCCAGTGAGGGAGGAGTCCCGGGTCAGGCTGCAGGGCTCTAGTGAGGTTCCCAAGGTAAAAGTTTAAGCAGCACAGAAGATACCCTAGGCTTTGAGTCTTCCAAGGTCTCTTATCTGTCTCTGCAGTATAACTTTCTCATCTATAAAATGAGAACGGTGCCGCCAAACCTCATAAGATATTGTCAAATTCAAATGAAATGTTTGATAAGAGCTGCTTGACGCTGTGATGCATGATGCAAACAAAACACAGGCTGCAGTTCAGTCATTAGGCTGCTTCTGATTACTGCATGGCTTTCTGCTTCTTCAGGCCTGTGGACAAATGTCTCAGAACTCAAAGAAACTTTTTCTCATTCAAAATGTCCCCGAATCCTCACATCCCATCCAGAGTGGCTGAAATGATTATTACTCCCATTTAATGGAAAGGAAAACCAAGTATAGGGAATCCAGAGAGGTGAATTCACACAGCTAGCAAGTAGAGAGGCGCTTTCAGTTAAAACCGTCTGATTTTAAATTTGGTTCCCAAGAAGATGGAGGAGGTGTTGGCAGAAGTTGAATATAGAGAGGTCAAGTTTAGATTTAAAGTTGGCTTGAACTTGAGCAGCGATGGATTTATTTAGAGCAATGCAAGTTATGGTCACATGCTTAGTCCTTGGAAAAACAATGCAACATTACAGACTGCACAGATTAATGCACAATAAAAATTGCTGCAAATATTTCAGGCAGATGCCAGCTATCACACAGAAAAGCTTAGGAAAATAAGGCAAAGTCATAACATAGCAGCTGATGGCGAGTAACTACAAGTGACAGAAGAATGGGTCAGTTCAGTGAAGATTCAGGGGCCCTGCTTCAACTATGACAGTGGCCACTGAGACAGACTATGGGGGTAGGCGATGCTTCTGTCTGCCAGGAAGAGCTCCTCGTCTGGGAGCATTGCAGGTACAGTCCTTAGGAAGCCAGAGGAATGAGGGAAGAGCTGCAGCCAGTGTCCTGGCTCACCCCAAAATCCCACTGATCTGCACCCTGGCACTTTCAAGGGTCCCCGACTTCCATGAAAACTGGGCTCCAGCCATTCTTCAGGGGTCCTGTTTTGGTTTTGAAGTGTCTGAGGTCTGGGAAATGCTACAAATGTCAAAAGTGTCCTAGGCTGCTTAGCAAGGAACATTTCCATAGGAGTCACTTTAAGACACCCTCAGCCTCCAAGCAAAACTTCTGTGCTTGAGCCAAATGTGCAGCCAGCACCTTCTCCAAGTTTGCAGAGGAAGGAGTTCTGTAGCCCTTATTATGTCTTCCTTTGCCAAATGTTCTCAGCTGAAATGGAGCCTCATTTATCCCTCTTGTTCATTCTTTATCCCCTGTCTTGGCTTCGCATGTTCTCGGAAAAGCTCACTGATGCTGAGTTTGCATGCTTGTGGAACACAGAAGTGAGAGTGGGGACAGGGTGAAGAGGAGGAGAAGGAAGAAGAGGGCAGGGGACCAGCAGCGAGCGGGACTCCAGCCTTCTCCTACAGCAGGCCAGGGCTGGAGTGGAGGGAAGGGTCCCTGTCCACTTTATCAGCATTATCATGCAATATTCCCAGCCTGCTTTGTCTTTGCTTTGCATTTTATCAATAGCACTGGTGGAGCCTGCTGTCCCTTTCTGTGCGTTTATTAATATTGCCCTCTGATCTATGGGTAGCTGCCACACTTTATATTCCAGCCCCATCTTGGCTTCTCCAAACTCAGACACCATATTTAATTAGATTTTCTCCCTGGTTCAGGCAAACAGAAATTGAACTCCCAGTATATCTCTATTGCTCTGTAGCTTGTGCCTGACAGAAGTAGACAGCTCTCTTTCCCTCTTCGACTTTCTCTGCAGTGTCCCCTCCACCCCCACCTTTGGCATTAATATTCCAGCACAAGCCCATTTCTGAGTTCATTCTTTGGCCCCAAACTTTGAAATTCATTGTCACGTTACCCACAGCCATTCAGAAGAGTCATGTGCCTGAGGTCTGGGCTGCGGGAGCATTTTGGATCGTCCTGCAGATGTCGGGCTGGACCTGATGTTGGAGGGTAATGAGGAGAGTGGAGGAGAAACAGGATGGAGAGTTTCTTGGCCTACATGCCAGTGGGTCTTTGGGAGGCGTTCTGTCTTTTTCCCTCAGCCACCCGAGTCCCCTTTTAGAAGTTCGCACGATGCTGCTGCGACTCAGTTTCCTATCAGAGGAATAGGAATAAGGGCAGCTGCCCTGTGCATGCCCCATAGCTGTGACTTCAAATAGAACTGAGAGTGTTACTGTGCAGCAGAAGCTGTGGCATTCCTTGTGAGGATAGGGCATTCCCACTCTCACCTGCACTTGGATTTGTAGTTGCTCCTGCATAATGCAAAATAGAAGACAGTAATGTACTTTTTATTTGATGGTGAAGTGAGTTTTATTTTCTTTACCCAAGAAGTCTACCATTATGATCAGCTAGCTACTCTTGTCTTGTCGTAGATGGACCAATAGCAGAAGGGATTTAGGAATTCTGGTGACAAAATATAAATAAAACAATAAAGGAAAGAAGGAAACAGCAGAGAGGATGCTTTACTCAGATTCCTTGAAATGGCTTCATATCAAGACAAAGAGATATACACATTTACTTAAGTCACAGTGAGCACTTAGGTTACCTGTGAGGAGCCACCACCAGCACTGTGGGAGGAGAAAGGAGCCCTGGAACAGCATCCCTTTCCCAACTCAGAGGGCTGTGCTCACCCCACCATGGGCACTGCTCTCAGGGCAGCACCTGGCATTTGGGAAGGGAGCAGCTCTTTACATGAGGGCTGTGGGCTGCCTGGTGAGCCCACAGGGAGCAGAGAGACACTGTGTTCCTCCAATTGGCCACAGGACAGCATGAGGCTGTGTCCTGTAGGTGTGAGGGGCTTTGGAGTCACAGGGGTATTCTGTGGTGCTGGCTGTGCCACCTGGTGATGTGAACTCTGGTGCGTTAAGTCTCTCGGACTCAGTCTGTTAGCCTACTGCGCAGGACCAGAAGGTGACCTGAGTCCTGCACTGATGACAGTAGGAGAGTGTTACCCACACGGCCCTCTGTTCTCATGAGTGTCTTCCCTGCCCCGCTGTCCAAGGGCCCAGTATCCATCAGAGGGGGGCCAGGAGAGGCTGAGTGCCTGCTCAGGGCTGCTTCCTAAGGAGCCAGGTTTGCATTTCAGTTCTGAGGTCCCATAGCCTTGGGTGACTGTGATCAAGAGAGGCGAAGAAGTTGAGTCCCTAAAGCAAGGACAAAGGTCACCAGGGATGCCCCAGAACCAGATGCTTCTGTCTTTCCTATAGCAGCACATGCCTTCTGCTCTCATGTTCCCAGAAAGAACCCTGGCACGGTAGCCAGAATCCCTAAGAGTAGAGCTGACAGTCCTGCTGTACTCCCATTTGCTGAGTCTTTAAGGGGATGCTGCTGTGTGTGTGAGGTGGGCAGGTGTTAAAAATAGCCATTACCTGACTTGTTCTGGTCATAGGCCTGGTTCATGGCAGAACTGATTCCACAACTAACTCCTGATCTTTATCTCAGTACAGCACGACAGAGGAGCACCTGCTGGATATTTTAGGTAAGGTGACCTGAGCTGCTCCCAAACATCAGTGGCTCACATAGTCAGTTTGTTTCTGGCCTGTGTAACAGTCCACACAGGGTTTCTGCGCAGCAGATGGCGTTCCATGCCACAGTGACCCAGGAGCTCCAGATCTTCCATCAAAAGGTTCTGTGAGGTCCTGAGGCCTTGCCGCCTTTCTGTGGGTGGTGGGAGGAGAGAGGGTACTAGGGACATGGAGGTCTCCTCGAGATGTTGGCCTGGAAAAACTGGCCCTCTCATCATGTTTCATCAGCAAGAGCTCACATATGAGGCCACATCTCAGAGTGGAGGGATTGGGAAGCATCGTAGCCCCCTTATCCATGGGGGCTGTGACCCCACATAGTCTGTGGATCCCTGAAACTGGGGAAGTACCAAGCACTATGCACACTCTGCTCTTTTTTGTACACACATTCCTGTGATAAAGTTTAATTTGTAATCTAGGCACAGTAAGAGATCAAACAAGAAATAATATTAAAATACAATAATTGTAACAGTAGCCTATAATGAAAGTCACTTAAATCTTATGAATTGCTTATTTCTGGAATTTTCCATTTACTAATTGCAGATCACAGTTGACCATGGGCAGCTGAGACCACAGAAAGCAAAACTGCTGATAAGAGGGACTGCTACATAGCCCCACTCTGTGCCCATAAAGAAGAGGAAGAGCCAAAACCGGATGTAGAGGACAGAGAGCAAACTAAGCCTGTGGCCCTCTTGGGCACTGAACATCCACTAGGCTTTCTTTCCCTTGCAAAACACACAGACAATATTCCCTGGCCTCCAGGGTGCTATCTTCTCTTTTAACCTATTCCTTAGAAGGACTACTTTCCTCCCCTCAAAATATGAGGGAGGAGTGCAGATCATGCCCCAAGAACACCTGTCTGGGCAGTGTCAATGGCAGCCAAACAGCACCATGAATGTGACCATGTCCTGCAGGACTAGCTGCATGAGGATTCCTGCCTGGCAGGGGGTGGTCCTTGCTAGGACTCTGCCCCTGTGCTCAATGAGCAATGTCCATGTCCATTGTTCTCCAGAGCTCCTGCCCTCTCCTCTGGGTGACTCATCCCTGGGCTCCACCATCATGGTCCCATCTGAAGAGAGGCCCAGGAAGGATGTATGCTTCCTGCTGGCAGAGCTTCTCACAGGCTCTTGTAGACCAGCTTATCATTTCTTTGGTGCTCAGTTCCCTTAGCATTTGAGGTTTCTGAAATACTTCTAGTCAGTTCCAAATGCTAGTATCAGCACCCAAGTTCTTTCCAAGATTTGGTTCTCAAGTGTGCTTAATTTTTCTTTGTTTCCATGCTTCTCTTTCTCTTTCAATTTAATAACAGCCACCATGAGACCTCTGAAACAACAGGCTTGGAAGGTGTGTTAATTTGCTACAGCTGCCATACAAAGTACCATGAATGGTGGCATCAACACGAGGAATTTGGAGGCTGAAAGTCTTAGATCTGTGTCTTCAGGTTTGTTCCTGCTGGCAGAGAGGCTGTGGCTTGCCCTCTCCTGGCTCCTGGTGGCTCTTCCTTGGCTGCTATTGCCCATCTCATGTCCCATCCTCATATGGCACCCTCCTGTGTATCTCTGTGTCCACATTTTCCTTTAAAAGGACATCAGGCATGGTGGCTGGGGTCCCTTCCTACTCCAGTGTGGCCCCATCTTGCCCAACTCCATCTGCAATGACCTTCCTGTCAAACAAGATCATATTCTGAGATTCTGGGGGTTGGGTCTTCATGCAAACCCTCTGAGTGCAGGAGAGAAGGCAGCATCTGCAATTTGATCTCTGTGGCAGGGCTGGATGTCTCTGCTTAACTGAGAATTATTAATGGGGCTTTGTTCCTCAAAGCCCCTTTAAGTTGCTTCTCTGTTCCCGCCCTTCCATGACCCAAATTTCTGAACCCCTTTCAAAGATTCTTCCTAGAAAGAAAACCTATGCATGTCAGGAGGAAAGGAAATTAGCATATGTTGAATACCTACTCTGTGCTGCTGTGTCACGACCTGCATCTTCTTTTAAGCTGCAGAATGTTAGGATTCTATGGAGCTAGGATCCTCCCTGCTGGGGAGGGAGCTTTTCCTGAGCAGCTCCTACACTATGTGCACGCTCCCTGACCTTTTCAAGTCTTTGTTCTTGTGTCAGTTTCTAGGTGGGCCTTCCCTGAACACCTATTTAAAATTAGACTGCACCAGCATTTCCGTGCTCCCCTCACCTGCTCTTTTCTTCCACAGCATTTATTCTTACTACTTTGTCACGGAGTGGGTAATTTTCTAATTTTCATTTTTTTTTCTTGTTTCACAGCTCTGCCAGGCTGCACAGAGATAACAGAGATCCTGGCTGCTCAGTGTGCTAAGTATTCTCAGTACTTAGGGTGGTATTGGGGTTGTCTTTACCCATTCAGGGAAGGGCTAGTTTCCCTCCAGGGTCTGAAGGTGTCTGGAGTCCACCTCTCACCATGGAGCAGAGGGCAAGCTCCCAGGAGTGAATCAGAACTGAAGTTAAGCAGACGGGTTTAGTCACCCAGGTCTGGTTTGAATCCAGCTCAGTGCTTTACTGGGTGACATGAACAGTGTTCCTTTATCTTTCTATTCTTGAGTTTCCTCTGGGAAAATAGAGGCAACAACAGTGTTTCCTTCTTAAGATGGTTAGGAGGATTAATGAATATGCAGTGTGTAGAGATGCTTAGCAGAGGGCTTGGCATATTAGAAGTGCCCAATAAACACTACTTTACTTGTCAGGGTTGTTGCTAGTAATATTCTCACCAAAAACAAAACAAAAAACAAAAAACAAAAAAAAAACAACAACAACAACCCTCTCTATGTCTTTTTGCTGTTGATAGTTTTTGAATTTGACTCCTAGTATTCATCTATTTTCTGCGCTATAACAAAATATCTGAGGCTGAGTACTTTGCAAAGAAAAGAAGTTAATGAGCTCATAGTGTTGGTAGCTCTAGACCATGGCTTTGGTGTCTGCCAGGCTCTGGTGAGGAGCTCATGGTAGGTAACACCACTACAGAGGAAGAGTGTGTAGACAGGATCAAAGGTCAGACAAGATGCCAGAGAGGGAGAGGGAGAATACACCAGAGTTGCTTTATAGTGCCTTGGGTACAGTAGAATCAGTGCACCCTGGAGGATCCATGTCAGCCACTTGAGGGTGACATACGCAAAGACCTAATCTCCTTCTACTTAGCCCTGCCTCCCAAAGGCTCCGCCACCGACCTTTTGGCACATGAGCCTTGAGGAAACACACTTAGACTAGACCCAAACCATGCACTCTCGTCCCAAAAGTTATGTCGTGATGCCTTCCTGAGTAAGAGCGCAGAACATGGCTCCCGTGGTGCATCCTCCTCTTCTCTCCCAGCTTCCTTGGGCTGCAAGCACCCTGGAGTGGATGACAGGGTACTTGGCCTGCTATTCAGTTGCTGCCCTCCCAGCTGGGTCACTGGGCCTGGAGTCTTAAGATGTACCCGGTGTCAGCTTCTTTATTGAATGGAATAATGGGATTTCTTTCTTGCTGGCACATTGAAGAAAGTTCCAAAATTTGGATCACTAAAAGTTTGGAATAGTGATAAAACTGAAAGATGCCATAAGGAAAGAAGTCCTGTAAGAAATTTGGAGTTAGACAGAGGGAGCCTCCAGTGCCAGCTTGACTCCATGGTATAGCTACAGTACTTCTGTACACTTACTGCCCCTGTGTCCCTGCCTCTGGGTTGCTTGTGTGTCCTGCCAGCTGCACTCACTGGTCTTCTAGTACTCACCTGTTGGGATGGACTCTTCTCTGGCTTAGAGAAGGTCTTTCCATGTGATCTGGTTCTCCACTATGAGGGTGCAGTGCCCCCGGCCGCCCAGCACAGGCCAGAGATTGTGAGAGCACCAGTATGAAGGGCTGAACAAATCACTGCCTCTGTTACTTCTCCATGCAGAACTCACTCTGGGCAGCAAAGATGGGGCCAGATGATTATATTCTGAGTTGCATTTATTAATGAAGGGAGAAGACAGCAGCAGCAACTGTAATGATATCATACTATGTCTGATCTAATTATGCTAATCAATTTTATGGCTCATCAGAGGGAATCCCGGTTGGGCTGTGTCAGGAATTCCCCAGAGGATCTGGAGCGGTTGTTCCAGGACTTGGGAGAACATCCCAACAGCTTACAGTGCTGGGAAGCTTCCTAGCCATGGGCTGCCCCATTCAGTCGTGTGGCAGGAAAAGCCTGGCCTTATGAACTGGGGAGGGAGCACAGGCTCAGCCAGAGGTGGGGCATAGCTGGGCTGCCCAAACTGTGGCTCCAGAAGGAGTGTAGAGGGCCCCATGTGGCCACGAACTGCAAACCCAGGACTGGCCCACAGCCTCACTCCTCTCTGCTTCCTTCCCACCCACACACTTCATCCCCCGTAGGTTCCCCTTCCCTTGTTGTGTCCACAGTGTCACGCAGCTCTGCACCCAGCCTTCCATTCTTACCTCTCCTCTCCAGGCTAGTGCTGCTCCTCCGTCTCTCCCACAAATACACACATTCTCAGGTCTGGACTAGATCCCTAAAAGGTGGAGGGGTAGCATCTTGGTTATGGAAGGTGTCCTAGAAAACTCAATCTCACAAATTCTGCTCTCACCTTGCCTGCTGCCTAGAACACTATGGTCCATCTTTCTAGGCTTAAACCTTTTGTATACTCACGTTAAAGGCTCCCACCTCCAGGGCATGTGGATGAGTGTGTGTAAAGCTTTACAACATTCTTCCTCTGTATGCTTAGAGGTCCTTTCCAGACCATTTTGGGTGGGGAGTTGTTGAAGGTGGTAGAGAGAAGAGTGGCTACATGGTCATATTTTTTCCTGTGCTGCCCAGGCCTACGTCTCCAAAGTTCCCATAGGACACACAAGTAGGTCTGTCTCTGTGTGCAGGCTGTGTGGGTTCCCCTGGCTGGATCTGGGGAGTCTGCTGTCCCTCTGTTCTACCCAAAGCCAACCTCAGGGGCAGGCCTGTGTCTACACAGCATATGGCTAGAAGGGCATGCAAGCAGCATGCCTGCCTGGCATACAGTGCTTGGAGCTGTTTAGTTTTTCTATTGCTGCTGTAACAAATGATCTCCAACTAACTGGCTTAAAACACATGTATTGTCTATGGGTCAGAAGCCCAACAGAGCTAGAATCAAGCTGTCAATAGGGCTATTTCTTCTCTGGGTTTCTCTTTTGTGTTTGCTGGCCTTTCCTAAGATCTAGAATTCCTTGGCACCTGGCCCCTTTCCAGCTTCACAGCCAACCCTGTTGCATCTCTCTGAGAACATCTTCCTTTCTGACCATAGCCCCCAAAGGCTTCTCTGCTTCCAAGTTCTCGCGTCATTAGATTGGCCCTCCTGGACAGCCCAGGCCACCCGCAAATCCTTAACCGTACAACATCCTTCTTGCTGGGTTGGAGTGACATATTCCCAGGTCTTGGACTGAGGACATGGATACCTTAGTCTGCATACTACTCTGGCAGTACCTAGATATCACTAGCAAGTTTCTAAGAATGAGCTGGAGGAAGGCCTGGACACAGAGCAAACAGGGACCCTGGGAAGGGGGCTGGACAGAGCAGGACACTGCTGTGTCCAGACTTCTTCCTTGCTCTGGGCCACGTGGAGGAGACTGGCTCATCAAACCTATTTCCTCTTCCTGGGGAGACAGCTGACATCATATGCCTTTAATATCCTCCCCTTACCCACAGGGGAGATGTTCTAAGGCCCTGGCTCCATGATAAGAGGAAGGAGGTGAGAGATGGAGGCTCTTTAAGAGAGCCTGTAGTTCCTGTGGGAGGGCAGCTTGTACACTCGCTCTTGACACCAAGTCAGTCTATCTGGTAACTGAACAGCTACTGAGTAGCTAATGGGTAGGAGTGTGCACAGCATGAGGTACTGGACGAATAGATGATTCATGGCCTAGGCAGGAGAGAGCAAGCCCATAAGAGGTTTAAAATATATGCTTGTTTCTGGCATTTTTTGTTTAATATTTTCACATCACAGTTGTTTGCAGGCCACTGAAACTGAGCAAGACATATAAATAAGTTGGACTAACTGTAGCGATCAGGGTCCCATGGCTGAGTTGTGGCCAGTGAGCTGTGGGTTGAGATCATGTAGCTCCTTCCTGCCCAGGTTCCAGTGGACTGCAGGGCCCCCACCTGCGGTGGAAAGACACACCAGATAGAGGGGAGGCTGCCACACCTGGTGACGGGCAGACAGTAAACAAGAGAAGACAGGACTGGAGCAGCGATCTTCCAACAAGGGGTAGCCACACTGCATGTGACAATGAGATTCTTTAGGCCTAGCTGTCGGATGGCCAGGTTCTTTGTCACAGAAGTTAGTCTACTTTGAGTAACATAGAAAATGGTACCAGAGGTGGGTGCTTCCTTAGCAAAATGTCCAGAACATGGGACTTCGATTCCCTGTCAGGCAGTGGGCAGTGAAGGGACCCAAAGTGGAGGTGAGAAGGCTGGAGAGGCCTAAGCTGTGGTGGCAGAGCTTTGTAGAACATCACAGTGGTCATCTGGAAGAGAGCTGCAAATTTAGGGCCAGTGTTTGGGAGTAGAACATTAGCAGTGTGTGCACATCTAGGTGCAGTGAGGATCTGCTGGCTGCTTTTGATGGTGTATTATAGGAAAAAGTGAGTTGGGAAAGAATGAGTTGACTTGCAAAATGAAAGGGCAATAGAGATGATGCAGCAGTGTGGACATTAACTATGTTGTAGCTATTTTGGATGTGTAACAAATCACCCTACAACTTGGTTCCTTAAGCCACTTATTACACTCTTGGACTCTGTGCATCAGAAATTTGAATGGGACATAGGGGGATGGCTTATCCCTACTCTTGAAGTTTAGGGCTCAGCTGGCAGACTTGAGGCCAAGGATTGGGACTGTGAGAGGCTCATTTGCTTATACACTGCTATCTGACTCTGGCTGAGCCTCAGTTCCTCTCCACTTGGGTCATCAGCTTCCTTCCATAATGGAGGCAGCTGTGTCATCTTTATGGCTGAGCCTCCATCATCATATGGGTCACTTTTGCCTGGTGCCGTTTATTATACCTGGTCACTAAGCTCAGGCCACATTCACAGGGAGGGGAGTTGGACTCTGTCTCATGATGGCTGAGTGTCAGGGTCTGTGAAAACATGGTGGCTTGGTAAGATTGCTACTGTCATGAACGTTTTTTGGAAAATACAGCTTTCTACAGATGGGCTGAAAAAGCTGACTGCTCCTTAAGCAGTAGGAGGTAGTTAAAAAGTTTGTGGGAGACAGCGACCCAATAAAATGTTCTACTTAAACAAAGTGACTGGATCCTGTAGCATCCAGCCTGTGGCTATTCATTCAAGCCTCTAGTTCCAAAGAGCCTCAGGCAGCTGTGGAGAATAAAGGAGGCAGGGGCAACAGAGAAATCAAGCATAGCTCAGCACAGTGCCCAGCAAAGGATCTGGGATGTATCTCTTTTGCAAATGGAACTGTCCAGAAGTGAGTGGATCAGAATCACTAAGTTTTTGAATTTAGAAGGTCCAGTGGAAGAGTTTAGAGTCCGGCAAGATAGGAGAGCCACAAAAGGAAGGAGCCATGGTCTTCTACCTCTGCCTCCATCATCCCCACTGGCCTCAAGCACACTGGGACATGAACCTTCAGGGTTTTCATATATAGCTTCCCCTGACTAATACAAGCTATTTTCCTTTGAAGAAACAGTAAATAACATCTGTAAGTTAGTCCATTTCTCTAATGGACTGGCACACCAGCCCCGGCCTCTGCCTCTTCCACCTGCCAGGCTGATTACTTTCAAGGGTGTGCGGATAACACACATGGTTAGCAAGACTGCCTACCATGGGCATTCAGAATTTGGGAGTGCAGTGGGTTGATGTTTTGCATTCAGGATGAGCAAGGTTCTTTGGAGCTGTTAACTGTGCACAGACTCAGGGGACCAGGTCAGAGGGAGCCTTGCAGAGAGGAGAGCGAGAGGAGGCTATGTGTCTGGGACAGTTAGGGAGAGTCCCAGGTGCTGGACCTCATGCTCCAGCTATTTTTTTCTTGCATTCTATGAGAGATTCCTGATTCATGCAATAAGGTCCCATGGCCATGTCTAGTTTTAGCAGGTTTCATTTATTATAAACAGCTATTGATGTAGATGGAAGTAATATGCAAGAGTATTCATGGTATTTCAGGTGGAAATGGCAGGTTACAAGATATATAGTATGTTATGACCTTGAACTTGTGACAATAATTATTGACATTTAGGGACTAGGTAATAAACATCAGCATATAAATGGTGATTGTCTGTGGGAGTATGGGGAAGATATGGGTCATGTTTTAAAGTTTTCTTGTGTTTCTAGTATTTACAAAATTTTCCCTGTGGAGAATATATATTGCCTTAGTAATCAGAAAATAAATCAGGTTTTAAATATGCAATACACCTTAAATGGGAAATTGAGGAATACAAGAAAAAAGTAAAAATAGCCATGGATGCACAGAGCAGCTTGAGCCTGTGGCGTTCTCTTCCCAGGGTGGTTTGGGTTTCTAGGGGATCCTGGGCTGTGCCCTCCACACCAACTGCAGGCTATAGTCTGTGGTGCTCTGTCCCTGCTCTCTACTGCAGCTCCTGGCAGCAACCTCTGGCTCTTCAGAAGATTAATGTGTACCTCGCAGGACTGGACCTTGGTTGGGTAGTGTTCAGCTGACCTCAAGTGGTCATCAACAGTCATTTTGGAAAGGCTATGTAGTCCCTGCTCTTACCTTCTCCAACTCTCCTGCTTCTCCCCTTTTCCCTTTTTCCCTCTGAATCACTGTCTCCCCACCTCAAAAGGTCTACTTTCTGGTCAAATTGGCCCTTCTTTTTTTCGTGGTATGGGGGAATTGAACCCAGGGCTTGCACTGAGCAACAATCTCCAGCCCTTTACATTTATTTTTTCTTTTTAAAAAGTTTTTAAACAAAGTCTTTTGTTAAATTGCCCAGGCTGACCTTGAACTTGTGCTCCACCTGCCTCAGCCCCCTGAGGGAGCTGGGATTATAGGTGTGTGCTGCTGGCCCCAGCTTTTAAAGGGCTCTTCTGAGGACCAGCTTGCCAGGTTTTAAGGCTGACTTTCCCCCTCTGGTGCCTTCTGAATTCTTAACTTTCATTCGATCTTGTCCTAGGGGCTTGGATTTGTCTGATTTTTCCAATGCAGAGATGATTGGCTCAATTTGTCCCAGTGAATATCCCTTCTCCTTCTGTTTGCCTCTTAGGGGTGTGATGTTTCAGAGCTCTCACTATTACCCTGAAAAATCAGCAGAGCTCCAACTGACAGCAAGGGGAAGACTTGGACACTGAGCAATCTACACTTTCCTGGCCAGGTCCCCAGAGGGCCCAGTCAGATTCTGCTCCTGAAAGGACATGGGTAGTCTTCCTGCTTCAAAGGATTTAGGGCATCTGCCAAAATGAGCTAGTCCCAGCTCTGTGTAAAGTGCTTTTGGTGGAAAACTCGTATTTTGAAAATGGTGATGAAATTTTTATTTTATTGTTTGTTTTAATTATCATCCTCTCATTGCCTTGCAGCAATGTTCTCTCCCTCATGCAGCAAAGTCAGTGGAAACACAGCTGCATCCTCAGGCAAGTGCTGGAGAAGAGGCCCAAAGGAGTGAACCCAACTGAAGGCAGGAAATGTGTCTGGTCCCAGCCATCCTCCTGGACTCTGAATGTGGTCTATGTCTCTGTCATTGTGATGTGTGGAGGAAGAAGCAGGGTTCCCCAGGGACAGCACTGTTGCCCAGGCACAAGACCTCCATGTTCATCCTCAGAGGTGATTGTCTTTGGGTAGGGAAAGATGTGTTTTTAGGCTTCCCTTTGGGAGATGGGATGTAATTAGAAAATCAGAAGTTACAGTTAAGTGGGAATCTATAGTTCATAACCACTGAAGCAATTCAGAAGTGACTTCGTTGTTCTAAATGATATCTCTGTTTACATGAGACATCCTGTATAATTCATGAGGATTTTGTATCATTTACCAGCAGGGATCAGCAAATATGGCTTTCACATCCTTGTAATTTTGTAGGTACTAGTGCTGTACAGGGCAGCTTGCAAGATCTCCAGCCTGCCACAGGGATTTCGTGATGAACATAGCAGGCCTTACTAGTCACAAATGTCACTGACAATAAGAATTAATGGCCTCAAAACAAGCCAGAGAACTACATGTTATTCCCACACCCAGCCCTATTTCTACCTTGGGGAACCAAGGCACTAGAAAGTAGAATGTTTCTTCTCGGGTCATGATATCATGGAGCCTGGAGTAAAACTCATGACCATTTGGGCCCAAGGCTCATATTTTATCTCTTTAAACACAGAAGTGATGAGAATAAAACACACAAAAGAATGTAACAAAACAAAGCTTTTTTTGTTGCTTGAAGGACAGTTTCTTCCCCCTTTGGTGGGAGGTGTCTCCATCATTTAGGTTTTCTAATATGCCATTGGACTGTAAGGTTGTGACCAAGGGAAGAGAGACACAGCTTAGGGTTTCCAAACCCTTCAAATGTTTTGATTCTTATTTTGAAGTAACAGAATCTGGTGGGGGCTTGACTAGGGAAGTCCTGGGTTAGTCAGAGAGTATGTGATATGTGACAGGTGGAAACATATTATCTAACCATGGATATAGAGAAGGACTAGGCAGTAGTGTTACCCCATGGCACGTGTTTTATCTGTTTTTCTTTAAAGATGAAAGATGTTAATGCACAAGTTCCTTTTTCTAAATCAAAAACCTCAGTATTCCGGTTTAATTTCAGTGTTTGGTACTTTGTGATAAATAAGTGGGTTTTGTTTGGCCTGCAGTTTGAGCCCTCGTCTCTAAAAGGTTCACCATCACTGGACTAAGGCAAGCACCTTGAACTTGGTGCCAGGTGGCTGTGCAGTGGAATCTATGCTCACCATTCACCCTCTCTTTTCCTGTTGACTGCCTCCCCACAAATACCCCAGATTCTCCTATTGCCAGGGGAGACAGAATTATCCACATCACCATTACACTTCAGAGCACACAGGACTGTGTTCGGAGGCTTTCTTCAGCCTCTCTTCATGGATCCTTTCAGATTTCATTGTCTTATCTGAGAATCAGACCTAGTGAGTGCTTTACATTTAGGTGTCTGTGGAAAAGAGATGGGGAGAAGAACCAGGATCACAGCCTCCAGTGGCAAATATTATTTACTATCCCAGAAAGTCACTCCTGGAGCTTTCTGCATTGAACAACGAGAAGATTAATATTTTTGGTCTTTAAAACCTCAGGAACTGGGGCTCCACAGGCTGGTAGGACTGTTCTTTGCTGTGTAGATTTGTAGTTTAGCTGAAGGTCCTTTTCCATGCCGGCAGAGAGGCCTCTGTTAAAAGCAGGCTCAGGATGGCAGCTGTCCCAGGCCTGGCTGTGTTTCCTTCCCTCCCCTGCTTCTCCTTTCTGGGGTGACTTTCTGGGGGCCAGGGCCTCTGCGGACTCATCAGGTGCACCCCATTCACTGAGCTTCACTGTGTGCGATGGGGCTCAGCTGGAGGCACTAAGTGTGTGTGTGTGTGTGTGTGTGTGTGTGTGTGTGTGTGTGTGTGTGTCGGAGGGGGGGGCGTTGATTGAATTTGGTTTGGGACCAGTTCCAAGTCCTGCAAGGCTCACAAATGTTTAGGGAGTGATTTCCATATCACTCTAAAGTTGTTTGTCTTTCTCCCAAAGGCAGAGAGTGCTGCCAAAAGTGGAAGACTTGGAGCTGGAGTCCACCCTAAAGATGGGGAAATGAAGCCTTCCATTTCTGGACTCCCCCAGAGATCACAGTGCTGAGGACAAGCCCAGGATTCCCCAGGCTGTGTGATGCCTGGAGAGAGGATTCTTGGTCAGAAAGGGAGAGTTGTAAAGTGGGACTCTTGGAAATTGTGGCATGGCTTGCAGGACAGGGTGGCAGTGAGTTTTGAATGAACGTCAGTGAAACTGCAGGTGAGGACACGAGAGAAGGCAGCAGGATAAACACATTTGCAATTAGATTGGGTGAAACTTCTGGGGGCAGGTTACTTGCTGGCTCTGTACTTCATGGTTTCTAGAGTGTGGGTGGAGATAAATGTCTCAGAACTTTCTGGTTAGTGGCTCTTCAAGGAAAGGCAGGACTGAGTTGTATAAGTCCCTGTCTTTGCGTTGAGAAGCTTACTGTTGCTTTGGAAAGACAGGTACAATGTTTGGGGAAGATTTCTGTGTATCATTTTGTGGGAGGAAGAACAGGTGACTTTGGGGTCTTTTGTCATTTGAAGTTTCTGATTTTTCTACAAAGCTAAGACAGTAAGTCATTTAGTCATATCTTGGATCACTTAGGAGTTATATTATAAGTATCTTTAATAAGCCAGGCTGTGGTGATATACTGAGAAACAAGACAAATGTCCCTGTGCAGGTGGAGCTTAGAGTGTGTCTCCAATGCGATAGTGTTGGGAGGTGGCCAGCTGAGAGGTGTTCAGGTCAAGGGTTTGACCTCATGAATGGATTAGTGCTGATTCTATGATCTGTTGCTCTGTCTCACTCTCTCTTCTGTCTTTGGCAATGGGACAAAGTAGCAAGGTCTTTGTCAGATATAGGGTCAAGACCAAGTCCTTGACATTGGACTTCCAAGCCACTAGAAGTCTAAGAAATAAATTTATAAGAAGTAAATTTCTTTTCTGTGTGTTTCAGTTTTAGTATTTTGTGCTAGCAATACAAAACAGACAAGCCAGGGTCCTAACAGATTTTGGAGAGATAGTTGTGAGAGAGCTTTGTATAAGGAAAGAAAATATATATGGCAGCCAGACTCAGGCAGACTGCTCTTTTGGGTGCTTAGGTATGGCTCTTGGAATAAGTGAACTTTAATTGATATCTGATAAGTGATTTACCAAGGGAAATGGAAAAAGAGGCTCTTCATGACATTTTCAGGGATCAGAGAGGTTGTCTGGTGGAAAGCTAGGGAGAGAAAGTGAAGAGGAAGTTGGACAGGAAGGGAAGCAGCTGCTGAATTGTGTCTGGCTTTGCCATGAATTATCTTTATCCATGGGAAGGGGAAATGATGAATGATTTACAAAGGGACTAAGGCCCTGTCAGGGCAAAAGTCATTCCTCAGAGAGGCCTTTCCTGGCTGCCTCAGTTGAAATCGGGTCTACCTGGTTAATCAATACAGAGCATAGATAGTTTCATTTAGAGCATGTATCCAGCTTATAGTTAAGATTCTTTTCCTGTTTAATTTGTAATGGCTTTTTCTCTCTTCTGCCAAGATGACTTTGACTTTTCCAACCAGTCTGTGGCTCATCACAGTGGCTATGCACTGTGGAAATGTAATGGTTGCTAAATGAATGGATATGTTATAGTTTTAAGGATTCTGTTGCCTGAATTGTGAATATCTCTTGATGAAAACCCCAAAGAAGAGACAAAATAAAATTGAAATGTGTGGGTGATGGCAAGGACCAATGAAGAGAAGTGGGCAAAACTTGAGAGGTACTTAGGGGTTTGAATCAGAAGATCTTGTGGTTGGTTAGGTAAGAGGAAGGGAAGGATTATGTCTGGGTTTCTGGCTAGAAGAAGGGTAGTATTGCTTACTGAGACAAGAGTTGCAGAAAAGGACCTCCCTGTGTGCATTGGAGTTGGAGACAAGTTGAGTTTGGAGCCTGGCTACCCCATCAGTAGGCTCTGGTGTTACATCTGACTTCTTACTCCTTGCATTTGGGAAGTTTCCCCAGAAGACCTCTGACTTGCCCTCCCCTTCCTTTGTACAGTGCTCTTTTGCCTGGATGACAAGCTTTGAGTTTTTGGTCCCTGCTGAGAATCTCCATGGAAGGGGAATTTTACCTTTTTTCCATGTAGAAACAAGTTGGGAATGAAGGTTCCACTATTTGTATATTCCTATTCATGTAAATTATAGTTTCAAAAGATTAATATACTTTTGACGTGGAGAATATTGCTTATTTTCCCCCATGCTCACCATTTATTTGTCACCCCATATTTTCCCTACAGTACCTTGTGCCATCTCTTTCCCATACACTGAATTTTCTCATAGCCAAGCTTCTGTCCCAGGCCCTCTATTTTGTTTTAGTTATTTTGGCAGAAGTCCACATTGTCTTGGGTATAACTTTATAGTACCTTCATATTTGACACAATGATTACTTCTACTTTGTCATTTTTCAAAAATTTTGGTCAGTCTTCTGATTTTCACTATATAGCTTACAATCTGCTTGTGACAATTATTATAAATCCTTCTCTGATTCTGATTATCATTCTATGAAATCTGTAGATTAATTTGAGGACAATGGACAATTTCATAATATTATCTTCCCCTTTGGACATGGACTATCTCCTATTTTATGTATTCCTTAATATCTTTCAATAAAATTTTATTATTTCCTTCAGAAATGTACTATACCTTGTTTGTTTCTATTATTTCCCTACGCCCTTAACATTTTCTATTTTTTTGTTCAACTTTGAAATTTAAAATTTATATATATATTTTTTTCAGCTTTAATTGAGTTTATTGGTACATTTTAGGGATACAGTACAGTTACATTCATTGTTGGGATCTTGTACCTCTACATGACAAGTCTTGATTCTCATTTTTTCCCCTTACCCCTGCCCTCCCCCCACCCCCTCCTCCCCTCCCCATCTACAAACAAACACTTTATTTTCATCTTTTCATTATCTCACATTTTTTTCTTTTCCCTTATTACCCTTCCCCTACCCATCCCACCTTCCCTTCACCTTTAGCTCCTTAAAATATATTTTAAAATTATCTTTGCTGGTGTGGAGTTGCACAGTGGATTTTTTGAAGCCAGTTTTATCTGTGACAAATTTTCTGATTTTTTGGTTGGTTTTAATTCTTTGTTTTCTCCAAATTGATTTTGTTCTTAATTTTTATTATAGTCTTTAAAAAAACTTTCTTTTGTATTACCTAGTTATTTTTCTACCTTTTTTATATTTAGGTATCTTTCATTCTGTATTTTCTAGTAAGTGAACTTTAAGTCTATCCATTTATTTCTAAGTCCAGCCTTTATTGTATCTTGTAAGTTTTAATACACTATTTTTTGTTCAAGTCTAAATACTTTATTACTAGTAATTTATCATATACAAAGGGTAATTTAAGAATACACCCAGGGCTGGGGATTTAGCTCAGTGGTTCGGTGGCCTGCCTTGAAAGCACAAGGACCCAAGTTCAATCCCGGTACAAAAAAAAAAAAAATACACCCAAATTTCTAACGTGTATTTCTTGGACTATCTTGGTCTGTCTCTTTAGTGTTAACTTTCATTTAATTATTATTTGTCAAAATATTTATTTTACAAGATACTGATGCTTTAAATTTTTCAGAGATAATCTCTATCTAGACCAAATTTAATGAGTGATCTGTGTATGTTCTTTGTTTATTGGTCCAACATTCTATATTCATGTCTGTTTGGTCAAACTTGCTTACTTTGTTGAATGAGTCATTAATATTTTTGTTTTAAAAAGTTTTATTAAGGTATTAATATACAAAATACCCACTGTGCTGTTTAATGTATATAATTTGCTAAGTTTTGATATAGACATACACTGTGAAACCATCACTGCAATTAAGGTAATAAAGTATCTGTCAGAAATTTCCTTGTGAATGTATGAGTGTGTGTTTGTGATAAGACCACCTAGATCTGTTTTTAAAAATTTTACGTGTACAATACCATATTGTTAATTTTAAATACTGTATTATTATATTAGTCAGTGTTTATTAGAGAAACATATATAATACAAGATATATAAATATTTAGGAATTTACAGGATTGGCTTGCAATCGGCACCTACAGATGAGGAACAGTGCAGAGCCAGATGAGGGAGTGCAGAGGGTCTGTCTGCACTGGAGACTGAAGGATTTAGTGGAAGGTCTGGAGCTCACTGCAGTGTCCCGTGGGAGTCTGTATCAGGAGGCTGATGGGTCTTTGCCAGAAGGCTGAAGGGTTGATAGTAGAAGCTGAAGGTCTGCGCTGGAAGCCTGGGAGGCAGTCTCCAAGGTGAAGGTGAAAACTGGAGCTCCTTAGAAGAAACAGAAACAAGCTGAGCCGTCCTTCTTCGTTTCCCTTTTATTCCATCCTGGTGACAAGCCCCCCGAGGGTGGTCTTTCACACCCAGAACTATGCTGAGCCAGTTTAGTAGTACATTTCTTACTCAAGTTGATACAATCAACCAACCATAACAATTATATAGACTATATCTAGAGCTTACTTATCTCTCATAACTGATAATCATCTTGCAAAATTGAAACTTTATACCCATTAGTAAGAGCTCATTTCATCTTTCATTGTCATCTTCCAAGTGCAGTTTTGTCAGCTGAAAATATTTTGAGTCAGGGATGTGGCTCAGTGGTTCTGCTACCTGCCTTGTAAGCTCAAGGGCCTGAGTTCGATCCCTGGTACCTGTTTTTTTTTTAGACTAAATTATGATTTGCATAAAATAACAGAATTGCTATAGTTTTCTGGTGAATTGTTTTGTGGATTATTAATTATGCAGCTACCCATTATGGTAGGTTGTATCATTGTGAAAATATTCATTTCCCCCTGATGATGGAATATTCCTTTCTATTGGACATAAGTTTTAGCTGTGCGAAGTCTGAGGGGCAGTGAGAAGTCTGAGGCATAGTGTGAAGCATCCCTTTCAAACTGATTCAAGAGCTGGTATATGACTCCTACTGTCACCTTCTTCCCTCCTTCCTGTGGCCAGCAGTGTTCTAGACAGAGACCAATCCATCAGCCTGGTCCAGGGGTGAGCACAACAGAACACAGCTGCTCTCAATCTATGACCTGTATGTAGCACGAGTGAGAAATAGAACATTGGTTAAATGAATTCTTGAATCTTTGGGTTTATTTGTTGTAATGGACAGATCTAACATAATTAATACTTACAACTTATTCTTACTAATATCTTTGCCCTAAGGTCAATTTTGTTTATCATTGTTACAGTGACTCCAGTTTTCTTTGAAATGGTATTTTCCTAGCATATCCTTTTCAATCTTTTTCTTGTCAACACTTTAAGCCTTTAATTTTTGGTCTCATTGAGTTTATTGGTACATTTTAGATATACAGTACAGTTACATTCATCTAAAGATCCTAATGGTATAATTGACAATGTGAAATAGGAAGAAAAGGGCTAAAGGTGTAGGAGAAGTGGGAAGGGTAGGGGAAAGGAAATATGAGCTAAATTTTGTTTATATTTTTTATTTTACTGGGAGATGTCCTGTCCATTTAAATTAGTTTTTGCTAATGTATTTCTTCTATATTCTTTTGTGATTTTTAATCATAATTTTTGCTTTTGCCTTCCCCCTATCTCTCAACTATAGTGTGATGAATGGTAGTGAACAAAAAGATATGCCCACATTCTCATCCCTGGAACATGAGTATCAGTTTATAGGACAAATAAATGGCAAAAGGATCTGGGAAGGAGATGCATGCTACATGCAACATACAACAATATTTATCTTTTGTTTGTTTGTTTGTTTGTTTCAGGGATCAAACTCAGGACCTTGAACTTGTAAGGCAGGCGTGGGCACCACTGAGCTGAATCACCAGCCCCAATAATATTTACCCTTAAAGATAGATACACAGAAGAGAAATCAAAGTGACCCTGGAGGTAGAGATTGGAATGACAAGAATACAAATTTCCTGAAGAGCCTCCAGGGGCAATGTGGTCTTGCCAATACCTTGATTTGGGACTTCTGGCATCTGGAACTGAGAGATAATAAATTTCTGTTGTTTTAAACTACCCAATTTGTGGTGATTTGTTACAGAAGTCACAGGAAACTAATATAACCGACAATTAACAATGTTCTTACCCTATTGGGTTATTGTGAGTATTAAATGAGATGATGTAAGTAAAGGACTTGTCTATCTTTGCCTGGCCTACATTGAGTGCTCAATAAGTGTTAGCTATTATTCTAATTACTAGTCTAAGGAAAACTATGTTTTGGATTCAGTTATGTAGAAAAGTCTGAGATGAAGGATATTGTGAAATCTACTTATTAAAGGAGTAGAATATCTAAGGGGGTGAAGAAAGCAAGATAGAGCAAGGAAAGAACCCAGAGTCCAGCTGCTAGATTAAAGCTGAAGTTTAACTTTAACCTGGCTTTATGGAATCCAGGAAGGACACTCAGAATTGTCTGAGTTCCAGGTAAAAGAGCTAAGATGTTCTCTTCTCATATTAGTTCACCACTGGACAGAGCAAGGGGATAGGATCATGGAGCAGCATAGTGTCCTTGTCCTTCAGGACAAGGCATTCTTCCAAGGTTAAGAGTATCTTTCTTGCCGCTGATTTAGCTCAGTGGTTTGGTGGCCTGCCTTGCAAGTGCAAGGACCCGAGTTCAATCCCTGGTACAAAAAACAAAACAAAACAAAACAAAAAAAACCACCAAAAAACAAAAAAACCAAAAAAACCCCAAGTATCTTTCTTGAGGAGGGCATAGCAGGGAGACCCCAGCAGCCCTCTTCACAGCTGCTGGGGAATAGCACAATCCAGGGAGAAGGCAGGGCCGGAACACCTCTGGTGTTTGCAGCCTGACAGCTGAAAGACAGTGGGACAACACCTTCAAAGTGCAAAAGAAAAGAAAAGTAACTATTGATGCACACTTTCAGCTTCAGTCAAGATGTTATTGGACAGTGATGGGAAATACAGTAAACTTTGCAGACAATAGAGTTTTCCATCCATAAACCCTCACCCAAAAATAAATATATATTCATTTATTGTATAATAATTTATACTTTATAAATAAATAATTTATATACATATTTTTAAGTACTGAGGATTGAACTTAGGGGCTTCACATTGAACTACATCCCTGCTTTTTAAATTAACTAATTAATTTTTTGGGGTGTTTTGAGAAAAGGTCTTTTTAAGTCATTAGGTTGTCCAGGCTGGGCTCCAATTTATGCTGCTCCTGCCTCCCAGAGTAATGAAATTACAGGTGTTTGTCATCATGCCAAACATATATATATATTTCTAAAATCACAGTAAGTTATTTTGTAAATATTAACAAACCAATACTAATGTGATATAGAAAGGCAGAACACCCAGAATGTCCAACACAGTCTGCTGAAGGAGAGAGTTAGAGGACCCATCAATACTACCCAACCTGAAGTCTTCTTATGAAGCCATAATAATCTAGACAGTGTGGTATCAGAGAAAGGACAAATACAAAAATAGAACAAAATGGAGTTCCAGAAGTAGATCTACATAATAATAGCCAAATGATCTTTGACAAAAGATCACAGGCTATTCAATGGAGAAAAGATAGTCTTTTTAATTAGTACTGGAACAACTGGACAGCCACATGCAAAAAGTGAATCTAGACCCTAATGTTACACTCTTCACAAAAATTAACTCAAAATAGATCATGGATCATAGGTCTAAATGCAAAACTACAAGAAGATAACATAGAGAACAGCTAGACAGCCTTAGATTTGGTGTAATTCAGAAAGGAAATAATCAATAAATGGACTTCATTAAAACAAAAAAGCCTTTTGTGTGAAAGATGACATCAAGAGAATGAAGTAATCAGGGGGCAGACTGGTAGAAAATATTTGCAAAAGACGTACCTGATAAAAGACTTACATCCAAAATATACAGAGAACTCTTAAAACTCCATGATAAGACATTGAAAACCTGAATAAAAAGTGGGTCAGAGGTCTCAACAGACACCTCACCAAAAAAGTAAACAGATGGCAAATAAGCATATGAAAAGATGTTTAGCCTCATATTTCATTAGGGGATTGCAAATTAAAACAAATTTGAGATACTCAAACATACTTATTTGACTGTCCAAAATCCCAAACATTGAATACAAAATACTAGTGAGGATGGGGAGAAAAAGGAACCCTTACTCACTGCTGATATGAACACAAAGTGACACGGTCACTCTGGAAGAGTTTCTTACAAAACCAAACATACTCACATCATATGGTCGGACATTTTTTCCCCTTGTTATTTACCCAAATGAATTTAGGACTCATGTCCATACAAAAATATGTGTGCTATGTTTTACTTTATTTACAATTCCCAGAACTTAGACGGGATCAAGATGTCCTTCCATACATGAATGGATAAGTAAACTATGGTATGTCCAAACAATGAAGTATTATTCAGCACTAAAAAGGAATGCATTTAAAGGTGTAGGGGAAGTGGGAAGAGTAGGGGAAAGGAAATAAGGGAAAAGGAAAAAAAACATGAGAAAATGAAAAAATGGGAAATAGTATTTGTAAATAGGGAAGGGAGGAGGGGGTGAAGGGAGAGCAGGGATAAGGGGAAAAAATGAGAACCAAGAACTGTCATGTAAAAGTACAAGATCCCAATGATTAATGCAGCTGTGCTGTATACCTAAAATGTACCAATAAACTCAATGAGAAAGAAAAAAGAAATGAACTATTAAGTCATGAAATATAGAGGAGCCATATATGCATATTACTAAGGAAAAGAAGCTCCTCTGAAAAGGTTAGATACTGTTTATTCCAACTACATAACATTCTGGAAAAGTCAAAATTTGGAGACAATAAAAAGAATAGCAGTTGCCAGGAGAGGAATGAAGAGATGGAGCACAGGTGATTTTTAGAAATGTAAAAATACTCTGTATGATACTACAGTGATGCACCTGTATCATGCATTAATCAAAATGCACAGGATGCGCATTACCAGGAGTGAATGCAAAGGTAAACTATGGACTTTGAGTGACCATGTGTCTGCATAGGTTCATCTGTTTAACAGATGTGCCCTCTAGTGGTGGTGTTCACAGTCGGGGGGGTGCTATATGTGTGTGTGTAAGGGGAAATTGTTTTGCCTTCTGTTCAATTTTTCTGTAAACCTAAAGTTGCTCTATAAAGTGAAACTTATTAACTAAAAAAGGAAAATGAATCCAGGAAAGAGCATGATACAAGATATAAGGAAGGAAATGCCAGAGAGAATGATTTGGAGAGAGTAACTGGACTTTTCTAAAGTTAAAGAAAAATCCCTTGCTATGGCTTGAGTGTAGGTCTGAGGCCGATGTGTTGGGAACTTGGTGCCCAGAGTGGCAATGCAACTTGGAACCTCTGAGAAGTGAGGTACAGCAGGAGGTACTTAGATCTTTCAGGTCTATATTTGAAGGGATTAAGACAGTTTACTCCAGACCCCTGTGAGTTCATTCTTGCAAAAGCAAGTTGTTTTAGAAGCCAGAGAATGACCCTGAATTGCTCTCTCTGGCTCCTGCCTTCTGTGTGATCTGTGCTCCCACACATGGACCCGTCATGGTGACACCCTCTGTTAGGCCCTCACCACAGAACAAACTAATTGAAGCCACTTGATCTCAGACTTTTAGCCTCCAAATCTTTGAGCTAAATAAACATTTTTTAAGGCAGCCTGTCTCTGCTACTTTGTTACAATGAAAGAAAACAGACTAATAGATACACACCTTCACATGTAGTATAGCTCCAAAAACTGAGAATACATGCAAATAGAAACCAACATAAGGATAGCTCACAGGGAAGTAAAAACATGTCAAGTTTACAAAGAAAAAAATAAAGTGACTAAAGAAAGAGATCAGGCTAATTATAAAGGAACTGGATTAGAATGGGGGCCTATTTGTTTTAATGTTCATTACCCCAAGGGATTCAGAGGCTATCATGAAGTGTGTGTGCACGCATGTGTGACATGCATGTGTGTGAGCATGTGCATGTAGGGCTAGCATGACAGATACCAGAGGATTAGTAGTGAAGTCATGAGCCCTACTTCAGATGAGCTGAATGTAAGGCATCGGAATGGCACCAGAGAATCAAAGGCTGAGCAAAAGGTCAGGCACAGTCCTGAGCCAACATGGATCATCAAGTCACGTGGCCTCAATGGGACCCACTGCATACTGTGCTATTAGTGCCGATGAAGAATGTCGGGTCCTCTTCATCCTTGAACAACCACATGGACCCTTGGTTCTTTTTATCTGAACTCTTAAGATGCTCATGCTTGCAAGATCTGAAATACTATGCATAATGCCTGCACATTTTAGTATTCAGGGCCTGGAATCAGGTACTGTTTGGCGTTGGAGAATCTCTGTGGATGAATGGCACTAGACAGGAGATTTCATGCAGCTTGTGAAGTCCTCTAATAGCTCTTCTTCTTCTTTTTTTTTTTTTTAATGCAGAAAGAAACTATCACTTGCAAGGCCTGTTTCCACAGCTATTCACCTACTTTTGTGTGTTGGTCTTCTTGACTTCTGTGTCTCTGTTAGTGGTACCACTCTGACCTAGGCTGGAACAAATGGAGTCACATCTACTTCCTTCTTGCCCTTGATCTTAGCCACAAGGCTGAGAAGCGATTCTACTTTCTTCTTGGACCTCACATGCAATTTGTCCTCAGCACTGTCTATTCTACATCCCCAGCCCCCTTGCTGACAGGCTTGGCCCAGCTGCTCCTGTTTCCTCTCCCACCCTGATGGTAATAGTTTCCTCCTTAGTCCCCTTCCTGTGGGCTTGTCTCCCTCTGATTTGAGTTTCTTCCTTTCTGTTGCACCCTTGTTTAATCTATCAGTGGACCGTTTGGCTCTCTCTAAATATGATTCTAAACCACCTCCCCACAGTTATGCCCATAGACTTTGCCTTTCATTCAGATTACACCCATAATCTCTCTTGTTTC